TCTTACTTCTCGTAGAAAAGAAGGAGAGAGTAAAGGGAAGGAGAAAAGGAAGCTGTGGAGATGCCCTGAGGCCTTGCTCTCTCACTCTGCCCCATGATGCCATTTAACTGCTGCTGCTTACTGTGGAGCCTCACACACAGACACACAGCTGAGACGTGTTTACATGTGATCCATTTTACAGTTTGCTGAAGGCCATTAGGTTAAGTGCTCTCTATCGCAGACTACAGTGGGTTCTGATTGTGTGCATAACACAGACATAACACAGGCGTCTGAAATTTGGCCGACTCATCCTATTTTGCAACAGCAGCATAGTGGACATGGTGATTTTATTTGGTTGTTAATCGTGACAGGAATCATCAGTCAGAAGATGCAGTGACCCAGAATATTTGACAAATTTCGAGCAGTGCTGTCCTATGTTTGACATGCACGTGTGGCGGGCTCCGGCTCTAATCTGTCATGCAGTGCACTGAGGGAACAACAAAAAAGCCTTTCCATCATGCAAGATGTAATCCTCAAGCAATAACGTACATTACAGCAGCGCTTGGATTCATGTCAAAGGCTTTCAAGGTGAAGAAGACGTGAAGGAGCTGAAGGGGGGAATCAGCCCGTACAACTGAAATCCTAGTTTCGATAGTTTTGAGGGATAGAAAGTAATTTTGAATCAAGAAGACATTTAAAACTTCAAAAAATCCAGACATATTTTTGGTATTTTTGAGAGGCTGATACCATTTGAGGTCATATCAGTTAGCCTGACCAAAGGTTATTTCTTAAAAAGAACACTTTCAAAACAATCATTGTTAACGATATGAAAAATAATTGTAAATGTCATGGTCTTTTCTTTCTTAAAGATATTGTTACTTAAACTTTGAAGAAGATCACCTCCATGGTTAAATGAGACCAACACTCATTATCACGCTGTCACATTCATTTTGCTTCATACACACAAACTCACACTTCACATGGTCACAAAAAGTCCTGAACAATTATGTAAAGTAATGCAGGTATTTGAACATCGACTCCATGGGGGTGTGTGGCCTATGAGGACATAGAGATGAGCAGCTTGAGTTAGCTCCCTGAATTAACAAAACTCTTTGAACTCTCTTGAATTAAATTGTTTGTGTAGCCACAGTAATGACAGTTGAACGAGCTTAAATGATGTAAGTACAGCGATCTTTGGTCGATGTGTACCGAACTTGCAGCACAAGAAGAAAGATGTGTGAATGGGATATCAGGGAAAGAGCTGCTAATAGAAAACAGCTTCTGCACCACAGCATCATTGGTGGTATTTTGTCAAAGTCAGCAATGTTTTTAATTTAGCTGAAAACAACTGGAGCTTTTGGTGATTCATCTTTTTTGATACATAAAAAGAATAATTGAAAATGGAAGAATTTCCTTGCATTAGAGATCGATAATAAGGGTGAGGCCATAATAAAAAGTGTACCTATAAGCTGAAAAGCAGCTAATATTAGATGAGCCATCAAAAAGTGAAAATATAAATTGTCTAGTAAGTAGTAACAGATGTGATCTCATCAGAATAAAGACAACACGCACACGCACACGCACATGCACACGCGCACACACACACGCACACACACACACACAGAACACATGACCAAGAAGGTTGTTTCTGCTTGTAGCGTGGAGTCACTGAAGCAGAAGCTTTCTCTCTTGCTGTGTGTGTGTGTGTGTGTGTGTGTGTGTGTGTGTGTGTGTGTGTGTGTGTGTGTGTGTGTGTGTGTGTGTGTGTGTGTGTGTGTGTCTGTGTGTGTGCGTGTGTGTGTTTCTCTGCATACATTTACTGTACATCTCTGTTCGCTGCCATGGAGTGGCGAGCACTGGTTGTCATGGTAATCTGGCTATACTGTGGCTATACTTCGATCACCAAGGAGCCCAGGCTGCCCCTAATATTCCAGCATCCATTGCAAATGATTTTCCAAGGTGTATATTACACAAAAGGCCCAACAAATAACACATTACACACACATATTATTAGTTTTTTATTCATTAATTCACCCTATTTTCAACTGTCAGTTTCCCTCTCACATTTACATCCTCTCTCTCTCTCTCTCTCGCTCTCTCTCTCTCTCTCTCTCTCTCTCCTCCTTTTGCTTAGCTTTTCTCACCATCCCCCCTCTCTCTCCTGGGCTCATATTTTCTCTCCTTCTCCTCTCATTTCCCTCCCATGCCTCTCTCTTCCCCTCTGTCCTCCTTGTTTTCTAATTTTTCATCTCAAATCTCTTCTTCTTCTTCTTCTCGTTCCCTCTTACTCACTTCTAATGAGCTCACCCTGCTAATAATATGGTTAACATAGCTGCAGTGTAACTGTGTCTATTTCCTGTTTGCAGTGCTCTGATAAAATGTCAAGCAATAAATTGCACAGAAATAGCCACAACAGTCTGTTTATTTATGTGTATTTACTTTTTTTTTTTTTTTAATCTCTTTCCGCTTTTCAAGTGAGTATTCATTGCATGAAATCTGATTTGTGAAGCATTAATATTGCTTAAGGGCCTGGATGGGGTTTTGTGAATACATGTTGCACTTAAAACCTCTTTAATCTCTGCAAATGCACACAGGGTTCATTATGTGAGTGTGTGTTTGTATGTGTGTGTGTGTGTGTGTGTGTGCATCTCTTAGGGTTACATGTTCGAGGAAAGAAGAGGAGAGGTGTGAGGCACAGTCGGAAATGTGCGAGACTAGTGTTTTTTTTTTTCTTTCATTGAGGCTGCAGACTACACAGACACATCTAAAGCTGATATTAGCTGCCAATTCCTTGTGAAGGTCACAGTCAGTAGTAAGACTGCAGAGGATCCAACCTGTTCAGTTGTTTGTACCTACTCAAAGAATGTGAAGAATGACCCTTCTGTCCATCCAGCGAAGACTAAGCTGGCTTAAAAACAGCAGGTATGAAGTACTGGAGTATAACGGAGATATTCTTATACAGTTACTCCTGCTCTTTGCATCCCAAAAGCCAAGATCTGAGTATTAACCAATGCAGAGTACGTCTCTTAGTAGTGACAGAAAAGGTATTGAATTGTTGTATTTCTTTAATAGCAGTATAGACATAGAAAAAAAAATAATTTATGGATAAGGAAGTAGTGCTATCATAGTTGTACGGCCTGGAAGTAATCTTAATGTAGCTACTAGTGAGCCGGAGACCCTTTGAAGGTGACCAATAACAGCCATAATATAACAGCTTTATTTTTAAACTTTTATTTATAAATCTAAAGACTTCAAATGGAAAACAGGGAGTGCTGACACTGAGTTGGACTGGCGTTGGCCTCTTGCTAGCTTTCTTTAAAAAAAGAAACCTGAGCCTTTGCCTGTTGACAGAATTGGAGAAACCCCGATTTGTAAATGCTTTACTATTTGTTTTTGCTGTTTCTTAAAGACTAGAACATTAAAAAAAAAAAGTCTTCTGCACATCTTTGCAGGCTCAACACTGACATGAAGCCCAATTGTGCAACTCCACCTTCTTCTTTCTCTCTTTTTTATTATAGCTGTCCCAGCGACAAAAGGCAAATGCAAAAACAATCATCCTTACAAGTATAAAATAAAATGTGTGAATTGAAAACTGATTTCTTTCATTATCCTTGCTTTGACTAGCGTTACACTCTTTATTAGCTGGCAGAGTTGCTCTTTGTGGATGTGAAACTGTTCATGTGGCATAATACATGATTTGTACTTTACCGTGCAGGCTACTGTTTTAAAACATGATATGGAAAATTATGGAATTGTATCAGTGTATCAGGGTACTTGCCTATAACCAACAAGGCATTTAGGCAGAATAGAGGCATTTTTGTGACTAGTTTAGGTTTTTTAACATTCTCTACAATAGCAGGGAGTTCAAAATGTGGTCATTTATGAGAAGCCGCTGAGCAACTCAAAAAAAGTTCATACATCATTTTATTAAACTGAACATTCAGATGCCCTCACTGTCTTTCCCTCGCTTTCTTTTGTGATGTCACCCAGCTGGGAACGCCCTCAGACTCTTGTGGAGCCGTCAGGGAGCTCGGCCAGGCTGTGATAGTGACACGCTGTAGCCCCATAAAGCTGCTCCTGCCTGGCACACTGGCCAAACTAAAAGCTGCTTAGTGGGGCAAAACTCTGGCTGAGTCTCTTAAAGCTGTACTAATCAGAGCTGTTAGAGAAGTAATCGTCAACTGTATCACACACGATTACGAGGACATCTCAAAACATGAATACAAGGATGAGGCATGTATGATTCATACAAACACTGATGGTTGAAAAGATGCTAAAATAAACATGAATGTGCACACCATTGAAGTGAAAAGACAAATATTTCCCTGTGGCTGTCTCACAGCATCATGTCTGAACGCAACATCTCCATCCGATACAATTACATCTAAAGAAGACAAAGAGCGGTGAAGCTGTTGCACATCTGAGCATGCGTCCTCGAGCAGTCTGCCTATGACGGCAGGCGTCAGCTGTGGATGCAACAAGCCACCCTGACCACTTTTGCTGTTGATTGGAGAGGAAGAGTAGCAGAAACGGAAGAAAGGCGTAAACACTGAGAACAAAAGAGCCTTTGAGGCGGCCAACAAGAGAGCTGCAGCGGCTACAAAATGTAACACAACACAACTGCTGCACTGTCGCCCGTTCGGTCCAAACTTGGCAAGCTCCCACCACAGGCCATCAATGCCCTCTGCTTCTCTCAGGAGGAGAACACTTTTTCTGCACTGCTCGCTAACACATTAGCATGCAGCCCCATCCCCCTGCAAGGGCAAACAGCTACTCACAGCAGCTCTCAATGTACACAGAAATGCTTCATATGCAATCCCCAGCAGCAGCAGCAGCAGCAGCTGAGGTTCTCATTGTAAGACAATCATGATGCCTAAGCTGAATTTAGGGTGGATCTAAAAGGCATGTGATGCTGACTAAAGAAGATGAAGGCATCAGACATGGGTGTCTCCATCATTCAACAATCATCGATGGATCAATCATCACTAGAATTTACTCCTTTCCCACCCTTGGAAGCTTACCTGACTTTGAACTCTGTGATCTGTGGCTGTGCCCCCGGTTCAGCACAGTAGATCTGGGGGAAGTAAAATCTGTGCGACTGAAGGTTGATGTCCATGGTGTCTACACACAGCAGACACACAGGTCAGTGCTGTTTCACAAAAAAAAACAAAAAAAAAAAAACACTCTATATGTTGTCTTATTTTTTAGGTCCAGAATTTCTTGGCTGACACTTCTGCTAAAGGTCAGAGTTCAACGCCAGCCTCCCAATTCACCTTCTCCCCGAATGGTCGCAGGGTTAAAGAGCGTCACCGCCAGGAAGTCATCCCCCTCCTCTTCTTCCACCTCACACACAGACCACTTAATCACCTCTGCTGCCCGGCACCGAACAGCACACTAACCTATTTCCCCACTGTACACTCAGCAGCGGTGAGAAGAGAACAAAGATGACTCCAGAGAAAGATGCTGCCTCAAAAAGACACGGGAGAAACTACAATAATCCTGGTTTGTGGTTTTGAATTCATCCTATAGCTTGTAGAGAAAAAAAAAAAATCAGGAAAAAATCAGAATGATTATGAATTGTGGGGAAAAAGAGGATTAAAAATGTGTGAGAGCAGCCCTTGGCCACATACCGAGGAGACTGAATGGGAGCTGAGAGTCGTTTGGTTTTTTACGCTTCAGAGAAAGAGAAAGGGGGGTAAAAGCAAGAGAGATGGAGAGAGAGAGAGAGAGAGAGGGAGAGAGGGAGGGAGAGAGAGAGAGAGAGAGAGAGATGAAGATAGAGAGAGCTTCCCGGTGCTGTGAGGCGTTGCCCTCGCTCTGCCTCTCCTCTCTGTGTCTCATTGGATTACCTCCTCCCTCTCCATCCCCCCGACCCCCCCGCCTCCTCCTCCTCCTCCCTCCCTCCCTCCCATTCCCCCCTCCCAGCTGTGACAAGTGCGATGGGCCGCCAGTGCTGGAGGCTGATGGTCCTGCCCCTCCTCCCCCCCCCTTCCATCTCATCTACCGGGCTGCATGATTGGCCGAGGCAAAAATGTGTAAGCCCACATGGCGAGAGGAAAGAGAGGCGAGGAGGAGGAGCAATTTAATTCAACTGATGGCTCCCATCTTTTCTCACATATGATTTGAGGTTGTATGCCTGGCTTGGGGTTGGGCTATGGATACACACACACACACGTGGTGTTAAATTGACTTGATGTTCATTAACACAAAGGGACACAGGTGGGGATACAAAAAGCATGACATTCTTTTGTTAGAGCTCGGTGAAATACGTCTCAGTTGGCTGTAAATCAGATGTGTAAACCACCAACAGTAAGAAAAATGTCACATATATCTGTAGGGATGATTTACATGTGCATAATAACGTATACTAAGAAGGTCAAATGCTACCATGGCAAAAAAAAAAAACAATTGGGAGAATCAGGCTGTCATTTTCAGAAATGATGCAAATGTACAAAAAATAAATGCAAATAACACAAAACAAATACAACAACAGAAATGTGCTGAAAAAAAGGTGAAACACATTCGAAGGCAGCAAACCAGCTGCAAATACACAACTAATGCAAAACGTAGAAAAACATTGAAGCGTTTTCTTAATTTACAGCCTGTTTTTCCAAATGTAAATCTTTTGCAATATCATAACAACTTTGTTGGCCATCGTAACATAAGCTGTTGCTTTGAATAAATGTAATAGTGTATCTCTGGAATCATGTGGAAAATCACTATCTAGTTTTGATAAAGATAAAGAGAAAAGGTAAACTTTATTTGATCCCCGTGGGGGAAATTTGTGCATTGACAACATTTGCCCTTTCATTACCTCTTTTTTACTTTTGCCTTCCTGTCAAGTTGCTATCCTGCATCTATCCAGATCACATAGATTATAACTGACAGTAAATGGTGTGAGCCATAAAATTAATCTTCTGCCTGTAATAAATAAATCCCTCTCATATTTACTGTCTATCCTCTGATGTATGAGGAATGTTCTCTTTCTAGTACAGCTCACATCACCCACATCTGTCCCGCTGTGGTCTGCCAGCAGGCCATTTCATTGATTGGTCAGACTGCAGAGCAGTTTGATAACATGCTTCGGTCTGTCATATAGGTTTGGACAATGGCTGACATTGCAATTTGCAGCAATTTAGTCACTGTTAACTCTGCTGCTGACATGCCAATCAAATTACTGTTACGTCTGTATGATATTAGAAGACATATTTTCCAGTTGCTGGAAAAAAAAATTACTTGGAATAAGTTGCAAATGTCTGCTTTTACTTGCAATGAGTTGCATCATGTTGCCTCCTCACAGAAATGAGGCTTCATTACAACTCCTCCGCCCCTTTGGCAGAGACTTATAGGGGACTGCAATGATTTAGAGCGGCAATGATGGGACACTTGCAAGAGACGGATTAAAGGAAGTAGACCCTAGAATGACACTGGCAGACTGTCCCTAAATGTAGACATACAAGAATAGATTGACAACTTTTTTTTAAACTTAAATACATATTCCTCGATGATACAAAACATGTTGCGAAAGGTGTGATAGGTGAGAAGAAGAAAACACTGCCACAGTCAAAATCTTTTGCATTTTTTAATTTCAACCATATGTGTCCCAAATGCGGACTCAGTTGTCTCTCTTTTTAAAACTTAAACACTGGAGCCAGATGCTAATTACTTATGTCGGCCTAATCCTAACTCCTGTCAAATCTAAGATGATGTTGGACTTGTTTGTTGTCTAATCCCAGAATCATGCCTTAAACTCTTAAGACCAACAATGTGACAACACTGAAGACAATCTGCCAAAGAGATGAGATGATTGGATGTTTTTACATTTGTTTTTGTTTCATATCGTACAAAAAAACCCATAATTTTCATCATTAAAGAGTCCAAAAAGCTGCCTGATAAGTTTGATGGGAGCATGTGAGGGGAATGATTTTCTCCATGAATATATTGAGGTTTGAACTTTGTTTGTAAGCTATAAGCTTCCCCAGTGGCCACTGAGTGTCCATACAGACGGTATCAATAAATCTAGCTCTTTCCACATTTAACTTCAGCACGCCATGAGCAGCTTTCTTTTTTAATCTCTGACAATAATCACTGACTGAGGACAACTGCGCTTCAGTTAAACATGAGCAAAAGCATAAAACATCTCTCTCTAAAAAACACAAAAAAATCTTCTCACTGACTGAACAGTTAGAAGTCAGTTATGCCCCTCTCTAGAAGCCCCTCAAGCATTCATTACAATGTGAGTTTGTGTTTGTGTGGAACTGTGACAGTGAAGGTCCTTTTTTTTTTTTTTAAATCTGAGCTATGGAGAAACTGTCACTGTGAGCAGAATATCAGAGACACTGAGTTCAAGGTGGGGGAGTGTGCAGGTGAAGGGGATAGAGGAGCATACAGATGGATAAGGTAAAGAGTTTAAGAGTGGGATGGAGATAGACTGCATGAAGAGAGAGAGAGGAAGTCGGGGGGGGGGGGGGCAGGGAAGTGGGGAGGGAAACAGGAGAGAAAAAGATGGGGAGAGAAAAGAAGAGAAGCAGAACAGGAAGGTGAAAGGACATCCAGCCTGCACTTACAGTACACGCACCTCCCCCACCCATCCCTCATTCTCGCTCTCAGGTTAGACCCCAGCAGTATAATCCACACACTGCTGCTTCTACTGAGTGTGTGTGTGTGTGTGTGTGTGTGTGTGTGTGTGTGTGTGTGTGTGTGTGTGTGTGTGTGTGTGTGTGTGAGAGTGAAAGAGAGAGCGCAGCCAAGTGCTACTGTAACAGCATGGCTGTTAGCATACAGCGGGAGGGATGGCCTTCTGTCTGACACACAGCAGGACTGAGTTTGTGTGTGTGTGTGTGTGTGTGTGTGTGTGTGTGTGTGCAAGGAGGGAGAGGACAAAAAAATTCAGGGTGAAAATGTGATGGAATCTCATAAAGCACAAATGCAAAGAAACGTTTTGTACACACTTCACACAACATCTGGACAGATGTTATCCCCCTGTTGTGTGAAGGGTGAATAAATGTAGTTGGTTTATGTAAAGCACGTCCCGTTTTAAGACAATGGATCGAAAGTTTAAACATCTTGACATAAAAGGTTGCACAAGCATCATGTGACATTTCAGGGATGTGAGCTCTGTGAAAAAGAGCACGAAACTCTGCACAAGAGTGTCTACTGTGAAGTGACAGAATACTCTGCAAAATGTCAGCACTTTTTATTGTGATTCACAGGCACCACATGAAGGCGCTGTCACTGAGGAGACGAGTCACACACTCGCCTTAGTGATGTCGATAAACTCAAGCTGTACACAGCAGTTTGCACCCATTCACACATGCATATGTAGGCAGAATCTGATGTTCACGGTTGATGAGAAGTGAATATCTCAAAAATGAGTCTCTATTGAATAAAACTTTAACTTGCTGTATGGTATTCACATGGCTCTGTTTAAACTACACATACCTGAGTCATAACATCACCTTCATGAAGCTGTGTTTGGTTACAGAGCTCTACTTCTTCCCCTTACATTTTATTTTTGTCATGTACTCTTTTACAGGTTGACCTTTTTCAACAATATTCTACAAGACATTTACTTTCTAATTTGCAAACTGTAACCTTTATCCTTTAGTTAAATCTCTGGATTTCATTACTCTATGGAGCATTTGATTTTAATCTGCTAAGGACATTTTCCCTCTATTTACAAGGGTCAACAGGTACACAAAATCCAGTTTGAGGCATTCCTCAGTATAAATGTCACAGATCAGAAAATTGCCCCTTTTTATTTTATAAGTGGTTTCCTGGATGAGCTAGGGTTGTGTGTATCTTCAAAAAAAAAAAACACTGGTTCATTGTCTCCTTTTGTTGTTTGCTGCATACCCAAACATTTCCTTTATGAACAGTGACTCTGCCATAGTGCTGTAATGAAGCTCTGCTGTTACCCTGCCATGTTCATTTTACACTGAACCCCTCTATGTGTTACATTTAAGTAGCAGTGTGTGATTTTAGAATTCTACAATTTAATTTAGCAGGCGCTGTTGTCCAAAGTACATCTGAGATAAGAAAAACACAAGTGTGGAACAAAAAAGAAGGAAACTACATCAGTATGTGACAATAAACAGCACTTACTGACTTAACAACAGAGACAATGCACAGGGTGTATGAAATAGATTATTTTTTATCATCATCTTCATCAACTACAACATCAACAGCTTCATCAATATCCTCATCGTCGTCATCACATCATCAGTAGCATCAGTAGCATCAGTAGCATCAATATCATTAAGTGTGTAGGTGTTATTGAAAGTGTCAGTCTTCATCTTTTTTTTGCATTACAGTGTTGCAGAGGCACAACATCTACACAAACCACACAAGCTTTATATACACACACACACTCTGACACACATACACGGTGCTGATACATCCTGCTGGTTCCAATGTTCACACAAACGAGTACTACCTTTGCTATTACTCTCAGGTGAACCCCTTCACCTTACACCTCTGTGTTTTTTACGTTACAGGAGGTGAAACAGTCCCGCCTTGAACAGGCAATGTAAAAGAGGGTTTGAACTGAACAATACAGGCATTCTGATTTTGTCTGTGTAAAATGAAACCATGATGTCTCCTAAAATATGGACTGTAATCAAACTATATAATCCTTAAATCCTGGTTAATCC